AGATTTTTTTAAAAATTTATGTTTTAATAAGGAAAACCTCTTACTTACTTGGAAAATCTGGATTTTTCCAGTTTTAAATAAAAGATTTCGAATGGAGAAAAAAAAATGAATAAGAAGAAAAATACAGAAAGAGAAAGAGAGAGAGAGAGAGAGTTAGAATTTAAAAAAAAAAGATTTTGTGAAACAAGGAAAGAAAGAAGAGTAATATAAAAAAAAAAAGAAAGAGAGAGTGACAATAAATGTGCGTGAGTGCGAAAGAGAGAGAGAGAGGGAGAAGGGGGGAGAATGATAAGATGGCTGGAAATGTCTTCGGAGAAAGAGTTTTAATATACATGAAATCAAATAAAATTCTTTTGTTTAAACAATGATTGTTTTAAATTTCAATTATGTTCTTTACGGTTGAACATTTTTTATTAAAAAAAAAAAAAATTGTTTCTACAAATATTTATATGAAACGATTTGAATCTGTGATTGATTGCAACTTTTCTTTTTTTTCTTTTTCTTTTACCACGTCTAATAATAATAATAATAACGATGACGTAATAAAAAAAAGAGAAAGAAAATTAATAAAAATTTTACGAAAAAAGTTTAATTAAAGTTTTTATTTTATTTTTTTTTATCGTGCAACAGTTAAATTTTTACCACCACTACCACCACCACTATAACCACTAAATTAATAATTATTTTATTAAAACTTATTTCTCTCCCTCCCCCCTCCACGCCCCGCCCAAAATAAAGAGGAAAAAAAAATTCAAAAAAATTTAATCGATCGAATGAATGAAATTAATTAATTATTAATTAATAATTATAATACAACTCTTTGAATTTTCATAAATTTATTTATTTATTTATTTATGTATGTATGTACATAAAAAGTCTCTCGTTTGCTTTTTATTTTATTTTAAATAAAAAAAAAATAAAAAAAATTAGATTTTGCCAAAGGAAATCGTTTTTCTTTCTCCAGTTTTTTTTTTTTTTTCATCGCTTAAAGTTAAGAAAAAAAAGGTTTTTTCATTTTCTTTTTTCCTTTTTTATTTTTTTAAACTTTGTAATTTTGTTTCTTATTTTCTCTCTCTCTCTCTCTTTCATCTTATCATTATCATTATCATTATTATTTTTTATTTCCACGTATGGATTTCTCTCTCTTTAATTTAAAAAAAAAAAAAATTTAATGAACGCCGCACGATAACGACGACGTCATTTAAACTTGTAAAACAAAAATAATGATAATAATAATAATAATAATAATAATGATGATGATAACGTACGTAATTTGCAATTTACACACACGCACG